ACACATCGACAACTACCGGCAGGTGGAACAAAAACAGAAACTTACAATACAACGCAAGCAATAACTGACCTCATATGCCTATCGCCCAGGCCGAGGATATACCCGGCCATGCACATCACGGAGAGGGACTGGGAGTAGTTTGTTCGACGGTCTAGCCACGCCTCTGCGCTCTGGCTCTTCAGCCACAACATCCTCGCGAGATCCTGATCAATCACAATCAAGTCACAATCAAGTCACAATCAAGTCACAATCAAGCACAATCAAGTCACAATCAAGTCACAATCAAGCACAATCAAGTCATAATCAAGTCACAATCAAGCACAATCAAGTCACAATCAAGTCACAATCAAGTAACAATCAAGTCACAATCAAGCACAACGGCACGGGGAGGGACAGAAAAACACACGGAGAGAGACCGGGGGGGAGAAGAGAGTGAGACAGGGAGAGAGAAAAAGAGAGAAGGAGAGATAGAGGGAGAGAGAGGGAGAGAGAGGAGGGCCGCCCTCCCCCCCACAACCACAATTTCACGCCGCCGCTTCCCCCCCCCCCCGTTCTATTCTCCGTCGTTTGTGAGATCTGATTTTCATCATTGTTTTTTTTTTTTGTACCTGACCGTCGGTCTGGGCCAGTGCGCGCTCGAAGACCTCCAGCTTGTTGAGCGGCGGAAGCTTGTCGAAGTCCGGGGCGAGACTCGTCATGATCTTGTACTCCATGTTCAGCCGCATCTCCTGTTTCGTTTGGCGGGGGAACCAGCGCGCGAGCGGTGACGTGTGTGTGTTCGTATTTTTAGCGTCGACCGCGCTAACCGGCAGACCAATGAAAAGACGTCAGTCTCAATGCGGTTGAAAAATCACGATTTCACCTAAATGCCGTGATATGCGTGTGGGGGGGGAGGGGTACGCAATAACACCAAAGATGGATCGAACATCAAGAGACCAGACACTGGCTGCATCACCTTAGTATTAGATACTGGCTGTGGCCAGGGATGAAATGTATGTCTGTCAAGGATTAATAAGACCCTTATTCTTCCCAGAGCTGTTCGTGAGCGACAGCAATCGACGTAAGACGGAGGGGAGGGGGGTCCAGGAAGCACCGCAGCAGTGAGAGGAAAACGCGTTCTTGGTTCGCCCGAGACGAAACCATTGTCAGCGGAGACAAGACTAATATACAATTACGAGGTTCGTGGCTGCGTTGGATTCCATTCTACTACCAAAGCCCGGGTCACAGCAGCACACACGAGAAAAAAAGAAAGACCCCCCCCCCACCCACCCCCCCTCTTCTTCTCGCCCCGTCCCGGCATGCGAGATCAAATCGTCTACCGACTTGTCAACACAATCAAGGACAACAACGACAACGACAACGACAACGACAACACCAACACCAACAACACTCCTCATATGAACCCCACCCCCCCCTTTCGCCCACTCCGCGGGCCCCCCACAAACCTTGCTCTCCCGGTAGTGCTTGATGAGCTGGTGCATGGTGTCGCAACTGGGTACCCATCCGATGAGGCCTGAGTTGTTGGATAGCGGCAGGATCGCGAACCGCTGGATGCTCAGGTTAAACCTGGCCGTCTTGCGCTCGCTGGCCAGGAGAGCGTTGACCAGGCCGAAGAGCTGCATGACGCGCTCGTCCTGCCGCAGGTCCTCTCGGCCCTTGAGGAGGAAGAGGTAGGGGACTCCGTCGCCTGCAAATGTGACAGGGGGGGGGGGGGGACCCCGGTTTCCTGCCTTTATTGTTTAAGCCCTTGGAAACCCCTCCTCCAAAGGAAGGAACATTTTTTCCTTTTTTCCCCAAAAGGGGGGGGGGGGGGTACCCAAATTCTGGATAGCCTAATTCTTT